TCCTTCATTATGACAATGGCAGTAAACACTATGTGAGATATGTAAATCTTTGTCAAGAGTAAAAAAAATTCAGAAAAATCCTTTGTCCTACATACTTAAAATTATCAGGTAACACAGAGGACGGTGTGTTGACTTTTTGAAAGAATGGCACAAATTACCAGCCAGGAGAAGCCTGTGGACTCGTGTAAGCAAACAACTGCTTCCTTTGTTCTTTATGGAACTGACTGCCATTCTCTCCAAGGGGCTATGAACTAGGCTTCAGGAGACTCGGCAAATATTGAGGGAAAAACCCTTCATATTTCAAGCTGCAGTTCAATTGTCCAAATCAATAAAGGCACACACCATATAAGGTGCACGTGCATATCTCTGTGTGTGTGTGTTTAGTGAATCTATGTGTATGTCTGTGTGCATATATGTTTGTATATGTGTGTCTTTGTGTGTATAAGAATTTTTATAGCCATGCAGGAAACAGGGTAAAATGAAAACTCCCCATCTCTAACACCGTCTGCCCTGAGTGTCTTATAGTCATACTGAAGCTTTGTCAAACCTGACTGAACAGGATTATTTTTTTAATTGCTTAAATGGGATTTTCAAATGGCCCAGGGTTAACACATTAAGTGATGAGAGTGTCTCCTCTGTAATGATGCTCAGTAATAGAGATGCTATAAAGATACCTGCTTAGACCAGATTGCCTGGCAAGCCATTGGAACTCATCTGAGGTGCTATTTTTATTATTTACTATTTAGGACTTGAGGGGTGGATCAGTTTTCAGGTTGACAGTATTTTCAAGTCAATTGCTACCTACATATGTGTTCGTGTGTGTGTGTGGACTCGGGCCCCAGGCACAGCAAGTAAGTGTATTCTTCACGCTGGGGTGAACCCTGGGCTGAGCTGTACCCCCGCACTGCCATTTACCAGCTTTACTTTCTGAGCAAGTACATTGTTTTTTTGAATCTCCATTTTCTTATATATAAAAGGGCATGTGTAACAACATAAAACAAAACCAACAAGCAGTATTTTTAGTCCCTTAGATATTTTTGTAAGTAAAGTGACTTGACTTCATTTACACAAAATGTGGTCATATTTTATTGTAGGATCTTCAATGTGATTTGCCTCCCAAGCAACCAAATGTGGCATGCAAAAGTATAGACAGCCCACAAGGAAGTATGTATGGTCTTGATTAACCCTTACAGCAACTCCATGAGCGAGGAGCAGTGGTTTCCAGTGTACATATGGGTGAACTGACAGGTGAAGTAATCTGCTCAGAGAGTTTCTGAAGGTTTGGGACACAAACTCCCATCTGTCCCCAAAGCCAGGCTTGTAATTGCTTTCTAGATTACCGCTCAGTGGCCTGAGGTCGGGTGAAGAACAGCAGTTCATTTGTTGTGGAACTGGCACTGTCATCTGGTGCTCTTGACCCAGCCCTTCTCTTTGCCCTTCTCCTGGACACATCTACTCTCTCTTGTATCCCAGTTGGTACACAATTTCCTAAAGCCAACCTTCTATTCTGCCCAGTAGAGAGAGTAGGGAGGAGGCATTGGGAGAAATTCATACTGGACACACAGTGCATGCTAGCTTCACTTAGACATACACCATTGGTTGACACATTTTCAAAACACCTGATGGTGAGTGCTGGCCTGGCCTGGAAGTTTCTGAGAGCCACTCAACTGCGGCAGGCCATGGCTCTTGGTGTTCCACCCAGGAAATGATAAGAAAACCACTGGAATGTGACTACTTAATCCCCTTCCTAGACTCTGGAGTCTCGTAAGTCCTTAAACTCTTCAAATATTAAACAATAAGAACTTGATTTATGGACACGTTATGGTTAGAGGAGGCCCAGTTACTAAGCTATGAGGTTCAAGGAAAGCCAGGGAAAAAAAAAGACAACTGGGGCCACCTTGAAACTAGTTTAAATATAATCAGTGAGACACGGAAGCAAAGTCCTACTTACAAAATTTTTATTTTTTTTGGTTTAAGATATATAGACTTAATTTTGCACAGAAAATTGCACAGGAAATATCCTCTCAGTAGAGCCATTGAAAAGCAATTCAATATTTTTAATAAGGCAAATCTTTCTGATTCGCAACTTTTTAGCCATGAAATCTTAAAATCCAATCAAAGTCTGTTTTTAATAAATGCCGCTTTACCAATTTTATTGTCCATTTAACAACCTGAGAAAATTAACATTCTTTAGATGCTTAAATTTAATCCTAATGACAACCATTCAGCTTTCTAACTGCCCTTCAGTAATTTCATGCCTATAAAATATAGGTTTGCTTTTCTGATATTTGGTCTCAAAATTGTAAATAAGGTCAATTTACTCAGCAGCCTGCAAATTTCTAAGCCATTCTTTCTTACTCCCTAACCGTAGTAGAATCGCAATATATTGCATGACAAATAAGAATACTTAAAGAGGTTTTGCATTTCACTCATTACCAGTTCTTCAAAGGATCTGGGTGGGAGGAGGTCTCCTCATGAGAGTGCTAAAGTCAGGGCACCAGGATAGGTGATAAGACTAGTGTCATTTAGTGAGAGAGAGGTTGGGAACAACTTTCTCACTTAGAGAGTCTTCTCTCTTCAGGGCAGTGGACAGCACATTGGGCTAGTCTTTAGTGGATTAGGGCTCTAAGTTACGGTGCAAGGCAGTGTTGCTTAGCTGAGGCTCAGATTCTTTCTTTAGAAGGTAAGAATAATCTTAACACATCTACCTTATGGGATTTTGAGAGGGCTTGATTCAAACTAATAAATGAAAATATTTGCAAACCAAAATCTTCCCTTGTGTAGAGTGAGGAAGTACAGCATCCTTACGGTTGTTTCTCTGTATACCTACTCTGACCAGGATCAAATACACGACTTTGGCCATGTTGGTGGCATCGTCTCTCTCACTGTTTAAAACAACCCTTTTCCACTGCCATAGGTTGGTCATAAAATGTTTACCCTGGTCCCTGAGAATTACAAAGATGTGTGAACGAACCAACACGAAACCACTCCAGTTCTAGAAAAGAAAATTTGGCATTGATGGTTCTCTTGACCATGTCTTCCTGACCACAGTCCAAGGCAGCTCCTACACAAACTTCCTGTCTCTCTCCGTAGCCTGTTGTTCTTGTGAGAAGCTCACCATTTTACATACATTTTATTTTACTTATTTGCTCACTTTGCTATTAGAATGTAAGTTCCACCATGTCTGTTTGTCTGTTTCATTTACCACTGTACCCTTCTCACCAAGAACACTGACTGACATATAGAAAAATGAATGCATCATGTCCAGCACAAGACCACTATACAGGCGCTCATGCACCTTCAGCCAAAGGGAACCTGGAAACGATCAGGAATGGCTCATTAAAACTTAGGTTGCTTTTAATATTTCAATTCTGATATGTCAAATCCCATAATAAAATAATTTGGTTATTTTTCATCTTTTCTATCACTGGTCTCACCAACAGTTTCTTATTCAGGTTATCTTTGTCTTTTTAGTTGTTCTCTCTGTGAATGGGGAGTATAATTCATTCAGACACTAATCTTAGATTTATAAAAAACATAAACCATAATGAGGGAGTGCTATAGTCTGAGGCTTTGTGTCCCTCCCAAATTCATATGTTGAAACCCAGTTCCCGACATGATGGTATTTGGAGGTAGAGACTTTGAAAGATGGGATTAATGTCCTTATAAAAGAGATTCGAGAGTTTCCTCACCCCTTTCCCCATGTGAGGACATGTAGAGAAGACAGCTGTCTGTGAATCGGAAAGAGGGGTATCACCAGACACCAAACCTGTCAGTCTCTCGGTCTTACATTTCTTAGGCTCTAGAACTGTGAGCAATAAATGTCTGTTGTTTCTAAACTGTCCAGTCTACGGTATTTTGTCACAGCAGCCCAAATGCAGAGAGTTTCCCCCCTCCCCTATTAGAATTTACATGTAAATTCCCAATCTATTCTCCTAAGCAATTACTCACCATTTAATATTCATAAATTTCCATTGTAGACTCAATTGAAAGAAACCAAAGTGTGATTATGAACAACACTAATAATAAACAGGCACAAAAATGTTTACCACCTTCCATTCCCACAGCATTTGGGAGATCTGTCCAATTGTTCTGCGGCAGATTGGAAGGAGGGGGTTGTGTTAGAAGTCACAGCACAACTGCTGGTGATGCTGTTTCCCTATTTTACAGTGTGGGAATTACTATTTAGAAAACTCTAGCTTTGTTCATTGGCTGTAACAGAAGACAAGCCTGCAGGGATCTTGAAAGAGAAAAGCCAGTGGAGATGGAGCAGAAGGAGTTAAAAAAAAAATCCTGCTATACTGTTGCTTTCATGAATCTATGAGAGGGGCTTTCCTCTGTCCTTATGCAGTCACAGGGTAGACAAGATTTGACAATGCAGGAAAGGGACACTTCTTTCTATATTTAATTCCCTTGGGCCTCTGGCTCCTTGAGTTTGAAAAACACTTCATTTTGTAGGATTTTCCTAAATAAAACTCTGCACTTTGCTTGTACAGGAAGAAACAGAATGTGATTCTATTTCCACTTCTAGAGTCAGTGCAGACACTTATTTGTTAGACATTGTTGAAGAAAGTGTAAACTGATGCAGATGGTCGTGGTGAAGTGTCTTTAGGTCAGCCTGTCCTGCCTAGGAGTTTGCTGTGTCCTTTGTGACCTTCATGTGGCCACTTCTGCTTTCAGAGAATTTTCCAGACAAAGCCTCATGGTTGGCTTCCCATTAGAGAGTGTCATAAAAGGCTTATACATTTATTTTGTCTATTTCCAGAGAGAAAGAAGCAACATAGAGCAAGAAGAATGCCATGTTTGAAGATATTTTCTTTGTGTAGAAAGTCTAAACTTGTCTCCAAAATGTGCATATATGCTACATATACATTTATTTCTCTTTTAATTTTTATCACAGAAGTTCTTTGGTGCTTTGACATAGACCAAGTGGTCACAGTAGGAAAAGTCAGCTCAGCTCGGGTCATTATAATTAATAACATGCAGAGAAAGGCACTTACCAGCGCTGACGGTGATAGCTTCAATAAACTGCTCTCTCCAGCTGTTTGTCCCAACCACAAGGGCTAGGTTTGTCTTCTTAATAAGTTTGTCCACGGTACTCTAGAAAGGTTGAAAAGAATAAGATAAGAACTGCTGGGTTAGTTTAGGCTTTGGAAAATCTAAGACCTTGTTGACTTTGAAACCCCAGGGTTATATAAAGGGTAGCAGATGTTAGGCTCAGCACCACCGTACTGACATCAAACACTGTTATGATTATGCAAACAGGCATAGTCCTCACTTGGAAACATAACTGAAATGGAAACTTCTCTGTAGGCAATATTAGCCTCCTTACTGCCTAATGGCCAATGAAGAATGGCCTCAGTGTTCAGAATAGCAGATGTTGCAAAAGCCCATCCTTTCCCACGAATGCGTTATGAACTTGCTCCACCACTGGATTCATCTATGGTGTGCTGTCTGCAACTGAATTAACATGTGCTTTGCTCAGCAGTTACATGTCTGTGAATAACCGGAAGTGGAAGATAGATGAGATTATAAAACTAAAAATTGTTATTGTACTTTTGTTTATTAATACATTGCAGCCAGGCAGCAGAACCTCAAAACTGCTGCTGTTATGACCATCCATAAGTGGGTTTTCATCTGGCTACTAATCTTGTCCGCCTGGTGGCTGCCAGAGAACTTGCTTTCACCATACTCCTATTGCAAGTAAGAAAGCCCAAAACAAGAAAAGGTCAATTCATATAGTTTAGGGTGCATTGCAGCTTACCTTGCACTGAATTCCCTCCCCACCTCCTTTGCTAACACTGAACATCTTATTTTTCTTTTTCTTTTGACCTTTTTGAAGCACTTGGTTTTTACAATTAGCACTTTCTAGTTTTCTAATTGTCACTTAACGTAACAACAGGAACAGCCAAGAATTTGCGAGAAAACTAAGTAAGCAGGTGCATCCAAAGCACAACCACACATCCCAGCCACCACAGGAAGAAGGTCATGTCCGTGTCCAGGACCTGAGGCTGCTCTTCCCAGAGGAACTACCATATCAGAGATCCTACCGCACATCCACACTTACTGTCAGAGCATCCTCGAAAACCCACTAACTGCAAAGAGGCAGAAAACACATATTATTTGTCTTAGGTTAGACTTTGTCTAAGTTTAATGTAGTGTATTTGAATTGACTATGATATGAGAGAGAGAGAGAGAGAGAAAGAGAGAGAGAGAGAGAGAGAAGGCCCATTATCAGCTAACTGGTACGAAGAGAGAGAGAGAAAAATAAAACCAATCCAAGCAGCCTATACAGAGGGCCGAAGCTAAGTCAGGATGTCAAGTATGTTAGTTCAGCGAGCCTTTGAACTGACTTGAAATGCTGGGAGAACACGAGAGGGCACATCTCCAACTGGCCTGCTCTGTGTTTCCAACATCATTCTTTGCTAGCCTGTTTGTCCTTAAGGTGGTGACCTTTCAGTCTCTAGGCTTGTGTCTAGAACTGCGAATGCTCCTGATAAGAGCTGTAGCCCTCACTGCTCTTGGCCACCACAACTCGAAGCACATGACAGGCATCTGCCTTTTCTCTCTTGACTCAGACACATTGCATGGAGCACACTGAGTGCCTTGGTTGATGCCAGTTCAGAGTTCTGTGTAGAATGTAACAAGAAATGACCTTGATTTTTCCTAAATGTAGTGGAAACTTGGGACAGGTCTCTCTCCTAAGGAGCCCACTTTGTTCTGAAGCCCAGGCAGAGAATCTCATGTTTATTGCCTGGAGATAAAATGTTGAAGAGATAAATTGGTCTAACAGTCGAATGCAGACTTGCCTCAAGAAACATCTCTAAAGAGCAAAGTTTTAAAATAAACTAAACTTAAAATTCATAAATATGTAATACTCAGGACAGATTGTAAACTTTAGTTTGTGTTAACCCTGGGGAACTATGGGATAGCTTGGGTTCTTCCTAGGACTTAATCTGCATATGTGTCCTCCTTCGACCTAGGGGAGGAGGCAGAGTGAATAAGATGAATCTGAAGTTCAGACACTTGAACCTGGACATTGCCATTATATTTACCTGGAGGTTTCCTACATGCCAGTGATCTACTCTTCCCTGCCCCGGCCTGGTAAGTGATTGCTATAACCTCACCTTCAGCAGTGAGTTTTGGGGAAGACAAGCTCTCAGTCACAAGTAAACAAGAACCCAGTGGGCAAAGAAGAGTGGGATGCTCACTGTAAGGTGTCACCCAGATTTGGGACTTTAATGCACTTTTGGGACCTTTAAATAAGTTCTTTAAAATAGCCATGGTCTGGAAAAAGAAGTTTCTTAAAGGAAAAATATAATATCAAAATTGATACTTGAGGGCACTTCAGAAAACTGTCCCCAAGCTGCTCTTTACTGATAACAGTAAGTACACGGATGAACTTTGACGAGATGGGAGGAAATAGTCTGTAGAAACTATTCTAGGGAGATAAGTGCCCCAAACAACTAGACTTATGTAAAGAGACTTGGGGGACTTCTATGTTATTTTTTTTTAAATCCTCAACCAAGGATATGTTTATTGATTCTAGAGAGAGAAGAAGGGAGAGAGAGGGGGAGAGAGAATGAATCAGGGATGTGAGAGCGAAACATTGATTGGTTACCTCTCATACCCAACTTGACCAGGGATTGAACCTGCAACCTAGGTATATGCCCTGATTGGAAATTTAACCTGCAACATTTTGGTATATGGGAATATGCTCCAACCAACTGAGCCACTTGGCCAGGGTATGGGGGACTTTTAAATGCTCATTAGGGTGGTTACCAGAGAGCTTTGGGCTCAAGAGAGCACTGCTATGTGGAAGACTGCACTGCCATCCCCAAACCAACACTTCCTAGAGGAAGTGACTGTGATTGCTCTCCCTAGTCATGGTACATGGAAGGGGAAGGTTGAGGGTTGTCCTGTGAGGGAGAGAACACACAGTTTCCCCATCAGTGACCTGGAAGGGGTGGGAGACAAGCTCAAACAGAAATGCCAAGCCACAGAATCTCTGCTGCAGCAAGCGGCACCAAGGCCCTCTGATTCCAGGGGAAAAAGAGGGGCATGAGGAAGAGTGAGGCTGGGCACATCCGGACGGACTGGTGCACAGAAATGGACGGTCTGAGATAGCTGTACTCTGGAATTACAGGGAGCTTGGGTGTGTAGCAGTTGTGTGTGCAGTGAGCCAGGTTCCTGATCAAACAACAGGTGAGCTACGGTGGCCCGGGGCCGCCTAGAAAGCACTGGGCCTGGAATTTACCCTGCTTGCTCTTCCTTTAGGGGAATGAGTGAAAGGAAAAGTTAACAGATAGCTTTTCAGTTGCCTGAAGGGGAAAATTTAATTGCATTTTTATCATTTAAAAAATCCACTTTAATTGCAAAAGCACTTTTTTTTCCCACTCCACCTGTCTTCCATCAACCACCTCAATTTGTGAACTAAATTAAAAAAAAAAATTAATGGGCTCTGCTAAAGGAAAGGAGGCCACAGCAATGGAAAATCCAGATAAATTGCTGAGGCTTCTAAGTTGGTGGCCTCATTCTCCTTTTTGGAATCCTCCTTCTGGTTTCCCAGACAGAAGCAGAGGCTTTTAAAAAATGAGTGGAGAAAATACTGCCGTGCTCTGGATCTGTAGTTCTGGAAAGCCAAGAGGTTCCCTTTTCTGCCCCACCGTAGCACTGAGGCGTGGCTCCGCTGGAATTCCTGCAGATGTTAGGGCTACGTGCATGAAGCAGGGTGGGAGGCAGGCTAGGGGCGGAGGGAGCAGCTATGGATGGACAGGAGTTTGTATCTCAAAGTCCTAAGCTCACCCCAAGGCCCATTTGTTTAACTTTTGTAAAATAACTGTCTATAGAACTAGGAATCCAATTTTATCAGCACAGTTACAAGCTCTTTGGTCACAGGCACTATACCTTCAGCACAATGACTGTGCTAACATGTCCTGGGATCTTAGGAGGATGACTAGATGTGAAGGGGAGTTGGCTGACAGGATGTTCCATAGGGAGAGCCTACCCTCTGCCCTTCAAAACAGAAGCCTCTTCATGTACTGAACCTAACAAAAGCCACCTAAATTTCAATGTGATTTCTTTGCTTCTAACAGATTTATTAGCTTTTGTAAAACAGCTTGCTTTCTTCCATACATAACACTTTCTTGGAATCAACCTTTGTTTCTGCCTTGCTACCTTCTCAGACAAAGCCCTCCCTTTGGGCTACCTCTGACCCTTTGACAGATGCCACCCCTGAGCCCTGGTTCTGATGCTCTTTGGTTTGTGGGAACTCTTGATTCCCTACTAACCCTCTAATTCCAGCTCTGCTCTGAAGGCCTCTCAGTTAATGAGCAATTTCCTGAGATTACATCTGCCTCTCTTTCCAGATGGATCTGGCACTGGGAACAGCTTTAATCCCAGGACGGCCCCGGCCTCCCGGGCGGACGGTGTGGGTGAGCATACCTTGAATTCATAGGATTCTTCAATGATCACTTCCAGCTTGGTGTGCTCTCCCAGAATGGGGCGCCCCATTTCTGCAATGCGCCTCTCCTCTTCCTCCTTGCTGGTCAGCGGCTGCTTGTCGTCACATTCCTCTGTGAAAGGGAAGGGCGAGAAAGTGAGCAATGTGCTCCATTTTATTTGGAAATCCCTGGATCAGGAAACCAAGAAGGGAGAAAACGAAAAGTCCCTTGGTGAGATCATAAGGCTGGAGGGGAGTATTGGATAGACACTTGGTGTGTCAGGCAGCATATCACTATGATAGCATGTGATTATAATATCCCACGTGTGAAAGTGCAGACCAGGGAAAACAACTTATAGGGGCACATCACTGAGAAAGACTCTGCCTGCACGTTTTCTGTGTTGTGGGGATCACTCAGCTGTCCCCTGTGACACCGGCTTACCTGGCTCTTTGTACACATTCCTTTAGCATGTGACCAAAAGGAAAGGCAGTTAAAAGAGTGAGAGTGACTCAAGGGACAGAGGAATCTGGCCTCTTTCTCCCCATTTTCTAGGGGCAACGGAGAATGCCCCAGGGCCAAAGAGATGATGGAAGGGAAATTCTGACCTTAGCTTCTCACTTGCCAGGAGCCCCTGTTGCAAGTTAAGAAGCAGAACATCCCTATTATGTTTCAGTAAGATGCCTGCTCCAGCACTTCCTGTCTCTGGTGCGAAGCTGAAATGTGCTAAGAAGACCTTGACCATGTTAATCTTAACGTAAACAAGGGAGGGTGAAGGTGAGGCCTTTGGGGAGTTAAAACTACTCACCATGTGAGCATGATTAGTTCCAGAACCACCATGTAGCTTACACTCCAGGAGGCCAGGGGTGCTGAGAAAATGTTAATGGACTTGAGAGTCCATTAATGAGGGGAAGCTCACAGTTGGTTCCTCTCTGTGTGAAGGTCATTAGGATAAATCCCAGACTGCAAAGGCCATGCATAAGTGAAGGACAAACACTGTTCCTGTAATCACTCAGCCCTTCATCCTTCAGGCCCAGGATGCTACAGCAGGACAGGCCACTTCCCCTCATATTCAAGCTGAATACACCTCATCTGCAAGGAGACGGCGTCGGTGACCTCAGCCCCGATGCCCTTGCTTTTAGAACTATCCAGGCAAACTGCCCGCAGTAGGAGTCTGTCAACAGAATAGACAACAGAAAAGGAGGTACTTCTGTCCCAAGCCCCTTCCCTTTGCATTTAGGCATTAGCTTCTGAAGGAGTCCACACCTCCCATTCCCTCCAAAGACATGTGGCTTTCCTCTGCTGAGGGACCTGCTCTGCCAGCTCCATTTGATGCTCTAGCAAGTATTGCAACAACTGATTCCTAGGCCAGTTGTTCATGGCTAGGGCACAGAGCAGATGGGTTAGAGGCATGGCTAGCATTGTATACATGCCACATGTCAAAACCAACAGAAGTCCGAAGCAGAATGTAGCACATCAATGAATTCTTTAGTATGCACTCAATACAGTCTTCCTAAGAGGATGTTTCAGATGTGCTTTCCTATGCCCAGTGATTACAGTGCCCTTGAAGACATGTGATGAAGACTAAAAAGAAGTGATTTTGGACTGACCAGAAAGGGCTGAATGTTAGCAGATGCAACAGAGAGATGCAGGGGGATAAATTTTAACTATAGAAGTGGTAATCTTTTAAGTGGGCTTGGGAACTTAGGACCCAAGGGAAAGCAAAAGGTTCCGATTGGTGACCCTAAGATTTGTCCTTGAAATTATGTGTGTGTAGTCAAGTGGGTGGGCTGAGATATGTGTTGTCCAGTTTACCCAGGGTGCAAATCAGCCATTTTTTGATCACTACTGCTGTCTAATCCTTGAGCGCAGGATAACATTGTTGGTAGTTTTCATAACAGCAGTTGTATTGAGGCCTTTGTTCTAAACCTGAACGTGGATGCCTTGGAGACTTACATCAAGTTAGAATTATTTTTTTCAGAAAAACTACTATAACTTAGATTTTTATTTGAATTGCAAAGCCATTGGGGAAGAATATTTATTATGCCTCCTGCCTTTTCTATAGTGTACTTATAAATAGTAAGTTGCTTTTAATGGGATGCAAGGCAATTTTGGTAGAAAAAAAGAGAGAAATTATGAAAGAAAGGTGATGGGGAGGCATTGTTTAATGCCACATTTCACAAAATGAAATGATTTGGAATGTGGAATTGGGTAAATGGACATGGCAGTAAATGAAACTGAATCACACAGTGAGCAAAAAGGTTGTTCTATCTTTAATCATCTTTCAGTCCTTCTGACCAAGAAGAAATGCTTAGTTTTGTGCTGTTATATCTGTATCTAGTTCCTGACATTTGGATTTCTACCATTTAAGAAGGAGAAAGCAATTTTCAGGTAAAGAGCACTTAACTGTACCTAGTTAGAATTTAATAACTTTTTCAATTAAAAAAAATTTTAAACCTTATTTTCTACTAATGATAAATACTCCTAGCTTTCCATTAGTGTTAGTGACAACATTTTCCTTTAAAACCTAATCCAGTAAAGAACAAACATGAGGCAATTTTAAAAAATTACATTAAGTAAATTAAATAACAGCAGAGTTATGCAGCAAAAGCAAATATTATAAAGGAGGTATGAGAATGATGAAAATTGAGGAAATACTCTCTTAACAGATTTCATACTAACCTAAAGGAAAGCCAGGCATGTTGTTTCTATTACTTCTTATTCTTGCGCCAAATTTGACTTGAATTTAATGCCAAACTTTTACCTATTGCCTACCCATCTGGAAAAACTTCCCTATTTCCATCCAGCTAAATGCAACTTATCTTTCAAAACCCCACCTCTTCTTGCATGAACTATCCCAATTGACCGTGCCAACTTTATATTAATTCCTTAATATTTGTTATGTGCATTGAACACAGACACTGCTAATATATTTTTAAAACTTTTGTAAGTCATCTTGATATATAAATATGCAGTCTGTAAACTTACCAAGGTAGAACAATGTGTCCCATTGCCCTTCACACTGTCCTCACAACTCCCACTGCCTATTGCAATGTATAAAATGTAGTAGGTGCTCAATAAATATTTGTTGGGTGACTCTCCAGCTCACTTTTAGAAAGCCTCTCATTTCCTCTTATTTGTTCTTTGTATGTAAAGGCAATTTGTTCACCTGTCACACGTCATTGCGCTCCTACAATACGTCAGCACACTGAAGCCCCCTCTCTCCCTTTTCTAGGAGCTCATGGTCTCATGGGAAGCAAGGCATATAGGTGGCACTGCTTCCAGTACAGAGAAGTATGGGCTGAGGACAAGGACGCTGGAGCAGCTCACTCGGCTGAGAGAATCGGAGACAAGAGGAGATATTTGAAATTGGCCTTGAAGCATGTGTAGAAGCTGGCCAGGTGAATGTGGTGGCAAGGATGGCTAGGAGCGGGTAGGGCAAGGCGGGGCATTCCAGGCAGAGAGAAGTCAAAGCACAAAGGCATAATGTCCTGGAAGGGTCAGAGCTAATTTCACTTCATAAATGTCATGAACATTTAAGAGATCATTACACTTATATTATATGTAACTGAGAAAAGGCAGCCAGACAAATCCTATTAGTGCTCTTTAATGATACTGATAAATTAGCATTTATGGTGCACATTTTTGACACTGCAAAGGAGAGAGCTGAGTCTATTTTTTCCAAGTGTCCTCTTTTAGATACCTTTTATTGAAAAGGGAAATAGTTTAACAGCATTTTTTGATCACCCATTATCTTTGCTTCCTTTTCACTCTGAGGGCTGGATCAAATGCAGTCCATTTTACTACGGTCAAGTCAGTTTCATTTCCTTATTTATGCAGAGTGATGACACGGGGTGATTTTAGTTTTGCTTCTCAGAGAAAATTAATTCTCTCCCTCTGTACCTCTCTCTCCCTATACACACACACTTTTCAAACTCATCCTATTTTATTGACAAGTTGATAGTAAATCATGTAACATCATGGTCTTTACCAACCAATACAACATAAAGATCACATGCATAACTAATAGCCACTGTTAAGATCAGTATTGATAGGACATAAAACAGTCCTGTGATAACATCACCATTAGGGGAACCTTCCCTTTCCTGAGTAATTGATTTTGCAAATGACAAATAACAAAAGCTGGTAGGCACTTGGGATCCGGACAAGACAGAAGTATGCCAAAGCCGCTGTTTCTGCTTTCTGGCTCGGGCTGCGTTGAAGGCACTGTGAGCAGTGAAGGGACGGGAGTGATCTCTATTAGAAAACAATACATCCCCCAGGAGATCTGTGCCTGAGGAACTACTGTGGATATTCTTTAATGTAGTTGCAGTATTTAATCATAACAAACAATGTCAAATTCAGAAAGGGGTACAAAGCCGGTGATGGAATAATTTGCTCCAGGTTGTTTTAATCCTTGACTCAGATGTATGCTGAAAGTCTGAGAGCAGAAAACTCTTGACGGCTTTCAGCACTAGGCTGGCCTTTCTGATTAACAGTCTAAGGAGACTGCTACTTTTGTTTCCATGAGGAATATTCTGAAACAACTCTGCAGTCCGGGCTGGGTATCATGACTACTGAGCGGGGGTGTGGGATGTGGGGATGGGGAAGGCCCTACTGGGGCAGATAGCAGCGGTTTGCTGCCATGGTCCGTGAGGGGCCATGGAGGTACCAAAGTGTGTCTATCCAGGCCCTCGCCCAGACATGCAGTACAGCAGATGGTTCCTGGGCTCAAGCCTAAGAAGATCTGGGACAGTTGTGGAATCCTCTAGTCACCCTGTCAACATTCCCCTCTGGAGAAACGCCACAGATGTACTATCATGTGTGCACATATGGCTAACATCATGTTGGCTGAAGGCAGGAAAGGCTGGCTCAGGGTGGAAATACCGCCTGCTTTCAGAGAGACTACATTATGCTTGGAATGAAAGACCCAAGTCTGTGAAGCAAGATTTGCAGGAAATACAGAATATACTGAAACTCAAGGGGCGGAGGCCATTGGGATCCATCTTCTCTGGTGGTCCAGGCTGCTGCTCCCTCTGCCATGCGTGCCTCCTGGCCTGTGCTGACGGGGTTGTGTGTTGTTGCTGGCAGACCATAACCCCCCAGCTGCAGAGAAGCCACTGCATTATTTAGCAATGTTTTAGAGGGACAAGGGCTAAACGCTGTCACTTCGCTGTCTAAAGACCTAAAGAACACTTGAAGACAGTTAACTTCAAATTAATTAAACTGGTTTTCCAGGACCGTGATGAAATGAGTACCTGCAATGGTGATTACAGTAGAGGGAATCGGATGTTCTCTAGGATGAACTTTCCTGAAGACAGGCTTGCCTAGCAAAAGGACAGGCAGAAAATCAGCAGGATGGATCGCACTGGTTTGCAAGCGGAGATTTGTGGAATTAGTAGGCTAAGTATCACACTGACGTGCACACATCACAAGCAGTGTTAGGGGGTTGGGTGGTCACAGGTCACTCCTCTATAGGTTACAGAAGTGAGAGGTGAATGGGGCAAGTGTTCTACAAGCCAAACCAGATTAAGTGAATAAACCACGCACTCTACAGTGGGGGTGTAGCCAGACTGCTTCAGGTTTCTGAAATGGATTACTCATGTCCTTTTAGGTTATTGCTTCCAGAGGCACCACGAAACAATGGAAAGCACTGGATGTGATGACAGGTAGCCTGGTTTTCCGATTGGTGCCAGGAACATAGCCTAGAGCAGGTCATTTTCCCAGTTTATTCACATGTGAAGTGGGGCCAACAGTACTTGCTATATCCACATCACAGATCTGAAGGTCAAGTAACATGACATCTGGGGATGTGCTTATATATTTCCTGGGCATTCTGAATGGGAGAATGCTGTATTTATGGCGGCCTTTGCAAGGGCACACCATGGTCACAACAACTGTTTGGATTACCTAGGCCTAGGGTTTGCATCAAACTCCTGGCTCAGCTGACTGCCATATCCACCTCCTGTTGGCTTCTACCAAGAGCTACCCAGACCTGACCTGGGAATCATGAGATTCGGGACTTTGTGCCAACTCTGTCATAATGCTTGCTGTCCAAACTTGGGCAAAGCACTTCTCTGAGACCCACTTCTCAACTGTAAAATGAAACTGAACTTGAAGGGGATTTGTTCCTCTAACCTATGTACTGGAGTGATTAAAGTGCTTTTTTAACTATCAGAATTTTCATAGTTTGGCTTCCTTCCATGTGCCTCATTTAGTCTTTTACATGATGAGCATGATGTGATTGGAAGAGTAGTTTTTGAAAGAGGTATATTGGCCCCAGTTGGGTAGCTTGGTTGGAGCATTGATGCAATACATCAAGGTTGCAGGTTCAATCCCCAGTCAGGGCACATACAGGAATCAACCAATGAATGCATAAATAAGTGGAACAACAAATTGACATTTCTCTCTCTATCTCGCTCCCTTCCTTTCTCTAAAATCAATAAATTAAAAAAAATTAAAGAGGTATATCGACTGTTATATACTTTTACTTAATTAGGGAACTCTACGGCTGCCTATTTGGGGAATCAAACATGCCTCTCTCCTCTCCAAAGTGAGCCAGAATACTTAATTTTATTGAAATATCCAAATTAATGTGCTGCAGTTTCCCCCTTTTGGCGTCCCTGGTTTCTCATTTGACTGGCATTCATACTGATGGTATTTACGAGATAGCTGGGCTTTGAAGTGAAAAGGAGTAACAATGCAGGACAGAATGAAGTGGTTCAGAGAAAGGAAATAAAAGTGCTTGGATTGGAATAGTCATTGCATGGTCTTGGACTTAAAGTCAGAAGGCCAGGCTCTGAGTGGTTTGGGAAGATTCATCAATATCTTTGTACCCTCATTTCCTCTCCTATAAGTGAGAACAATAACATCTCATTCCAAAAGGTTGAGGATTAAATGATACAATAAATAAGAAATGCTTTACAAACTCTAATTAGCTATAGTGTACAGGAGGTTATCATGTTAGCTGTCTGGAGGGTCAAAGAGGAATGAGCTCATAGGTCCAAACAAGAGCCTCTCAGTGAGACAAGCTCTAGGAACAATAGGTAAAATTTACAAATTCCAAAAGTACCTCCAGAACTTAATGGCCACCACTAATGAGATCTCTGAAATATAGGTACTGGGCTGTAGACCAAACAACTTTTTCAATCTCCATATATCCTGCTTCAATTTTAGATTTTTCACACTCAGCTGCACAAGACCACATTAAAGCTATCGGAAAAATCCAAAGGATAGATTAATTCTTCTCTGCTACCCCTGCATCTCAAAGCCTGGACTTCAAAGCCTCAAACTGACTTCAAAGAAAAGCTCTTTGGGAATTACAGCTGCTTTTGACTATGTAGACCTGAGTTTCAGAGCTTTTCCTGGGAGCATCTCTAGAGGGTGGATCCCAGGAATTCAGGCTATTTCAGGAGAAGAAGGGCCATGCAAAGTGAGAGACCAATGTAGAGATTCTCCAGACAGATCTGGAACTTTCTCTTATTCTTACAGCATCGATTTCAAGCCTTGGGAAGAGAAAACAACAACATAAAAACTGCTTTTTCAGATGAGAGTTTCAGACATGAGAAAGAACTTGATGAAGTACATGAAATGACAGAAACCTTTAGAAATTGATTCTGTCCTCTTGGATGCAAGATGTGTCCAGGGCAGCAAATGTTGGACATTCCTGGACAGATATTTTAGAACTTCATAGGAACAACTTCTGAGAAAAGAAAACTGGGGTCCAATTACCTAGATACTAAAAGAGAAGAGGTTTCAAGTGATATGTAAGTATGTCCCTAAAAGCAAAATCCTGATACATTCAATGATAAAGAAAATAGGAAGATATCCAAACACTTCAATGCATTTTAACAAGGCATTCTTCAGCCAGAGATTTTTAGTTAAGGTCTCATCAGGCTGGAGGTGCTGCCAGATACTATATTACTCATACAATGGTAGACTTTAAAAAAAAAAAACACAACAAAACTTCAAGGAAGCCATAACGCTCAACTTGCCAAAATTCTACCTTCCTCAAATTTCACAAGGACAACTAACTTATTGGGTGACAGAATCAGAATAGTTCCAAGAAGACTTCAATGAGTTAAAATGACGGGTGAGAGAAAGAAGATATAAAAATTAAAAATAAATGGAAATCCCTGCATTTGGATTTAAAAACAGGGCAAAACTGGGGAGACTGCTCCTGGGAGAGAGAGCTTCAGAAGAATCAGATTTCAGAAATCCTTTACTGGGACTTGTCCTGTTCAACATTTTTATCCTCTTCAATTTCTGGGTCTCTGATAGTCTATGAGTCATTTTGTCATTAAATGTTTTGTCTGGAGCGAGGCAGTGGAGAGTAAGAGCCTGTGTGAAATTTCTTGTTTTCAGAAAATTCCACTTTGGATAGAATCAGGTCAGGACTACTTGATCATGCATTTATACCAATAGTGGTTTAAGCTAACCACACCTCCCAACACAGCATTTTCAAAATTAGAATATTTGGAAATATTTCCTTCTTAACTTTTTTGTTCAGCTACCTGATTTCAGAAAAAAAGAATTAGAATACTGAAATCTGCACAGTATATTGGACACTTGCTATTTCTCTCCCACTCTAAATCTGCATAGACAATTCTGAAAGGGTGAGAAATTATTAAGAGAGGATGTTGTAAGGAAATACCTTCCTTCTGTACAGAAGAAAATAACTTTAGAGTTGTGTTAAACAACTCAATCCACACAGGCCAAGTACCATTCTGAATTCCAGGGCTTCCAACTTTTTGACTGGCATTTTGAGTTTTTATAGAGCATTTTTTAAATAGATGTCAAGTGGTAGAAATATTACTCATTAATTTATAGGTGTTAAGAATACTAAACCTTAAGTCCCCAAAGAGGGGTTTGTTCACACTGATGTGGTGGGATGATGGGGAGGGATTTCTCTATCTTCTCCCAACAGGGTGTTATTTACTACTCGCATCCTGAGCGTGGGCCATGGAGCAGCCTTGGATGGCAACCCGTATGTTTCCTTGCGGTCAGCGTTTGTCATATTCTAGTACTTTTTGAAACATCTAGCAGGGTATATTGTACATCACCAGGGCTATGTGAATATTTGTAAATTGACCAGTGTCAAAATGTGAACTATTACAGGTTCTCCAAATAAATTTGTGTATAAACACAATACACACATTGTTAATGTGTAAAATGTTAAATGTGTAAAATTAGCAAGAACATACCATGTGCTACATGTAAATGTTAATACGGGTTATATAAGATGTGGTTTTGGTTGGTTTTTAAGGGTACTTGAAGAAAATAAAGGACATTAAAAATGTTTTCTTACCATACAGGCATTTTCCTTCATTAAAAGCAAATAAAAATGAAAAATGATTTTTAAAAAATTTATACAATATATGGTGAGAACAGACAGCAAAAAGTAAGGTTTGACGTCATTAGGCTTAAAAAATTCATACCTGTTATTGTGAAGCCACCTAAAAAAAGAAAAAAAATAAATGTTACAATTTATTTAACTCACACTCTAACTAACAAACAGTACCAACATCAGACTGCCTCACAACTCATCCAAGGGGTAAAAACTTGCCAAATTATATTTACAATTAAGAAAAATATAAAAACATGAGTTCATGACTTAGTCATTAATAATTTTTTCAAGATTATAGGATTTACTGCACAAACTTAATTCTGTGCATACCTAAGAAATCACTGATTTTTTTAAAAAAGGTTATATTAACGAAAACAGGAATATAAACTATCTGACCTTAACAAAAATGAGGGCAATGGCCCTAAACAACAATCTTGCTAGTAAATCAATAGAAATAAAAGTCAGAAATCTACTGTATCACTTGACAGAAATGGAAATTAACCTAGAAAAATGGAAAGGAAATGCAAGAAATGAAATGCTTACCAAGCTCATTCAATAACAGGGCTGTGAAGGAAACAGACAAAGACAAACACAGAATAAGAGACCAGATGAATAATGAAAGTAAGAGGAATATCAGCAGAAAGAAATCCAGGCAGGTCTGTATACAGTGGTAGGGAGCCACTGATAAAGTATTGGTGCACCCCAGAGAAACAGGGCATTGGGAATATTTCCAAATAAACGATCCCGACACTAATTTCGGCAAATGCATTATATATATATATTCATTCTGTAAATTATTTCTTGACATTTAATTAAAAATTTCTACTATATATGTTTACACATAGTATATATATCTAGTTTACAAAATATAGTAGAAACATTTTGTAAAGTTAATCCTAAACTTTATTTGAGTGTGTCTTTTCATGAACTATTGCCTGGGAGTTCGTTAATTCAACATATGGAAGTCTTAAATCATCTGGGACCTCAGGTAATATACCTTTCATTGAGTAAAAACAGGTAAAGCATCTTGTGAAATTTTATTTTGGCCACCCTTTCTGGAAGGACACTTTGGCCCAAGATGAAAGTCTCTCTCTGTAGGTTCTATTTGCATGATATTTTAGTCATCAAGGGATGCTTTTAAAATTTTTTTTAATCCTCAAAACTCAAGTCCCAGGAATTAGCAGCTATTTGCCCGTCCTTGTCTATGGCTTCTGCATATGAGGACTGGACAGCTAGAACGCTTCTGGGGACAGTAATTCCATGGAAAGTAACAAGGCATGTTGGTGGGGGTACATAATTTGTCTTTCAGGTCATGTGCTTTCTACTCAGACTATACTGTATGAGGCACTTCGTTTTGGTGAAAGCCACCTGAATGAATGTATCGAATGAAAGACTTCAGGAGTTGTAGATGGGAATGTTACAATTAATTTTTCAGGCCCAATTTTCACTCTAATGGTAGTGGCATTAGAGGATACTTTCTAAAAAAAGTCAATAATTGTATTTATAGTGATAAGAATCCACTTGGCTGGTGCAAAACTGGATAGTGCTATCAAGGAATTTTAATTTGTTTTTACATGAGGCCATATTTTATTAAGATGACAATTGAAAAAGCTGTATCCAAGATGCTCTCCTTTTAGATAAAAGACAGCTCTTTGGAGGAATTCATTTAGAAGTTAAGTGCTTTTTCTTGTATGTTAATGAAGCATTTTTGATCCCATTTTTGTAAGAACTCAGCACAATTTTCTCAAGTATCTTCTTTTTGCCTACTGTCTATGAAGCATATGAAAGAGGCTGAATTAAAATGGGTTCCTTTCTCCATCATTCCAAAGGCGCCTGTTACCGTGCTGAAGGTGATTAAGTCAGGAACATAATTTCTTTTTTCCTGATGGGCTTTGAAGTCATTGAGTTCTTATAAATGTGGGATTAGTTAAATTCTCCCTAATGTTGGATCTGTACTGAAATTAGTCCTATGTTTTTGATTTTTTTTTTACATGTAAAAGTATAAATTTCTTGCAAAGTGGTTAATCTAATCATTAATTGTTTGTATGCAATTGATAAGAGCTATTCATATGTAGTATACTCATTTTATGCAAATAATTAAATGAATAGGATTTCTTTTAAAATGGCCACTATTACAGGATAAATATAGGAAATCATAAAATAATTCAGAACAAAAAATTATCTTTAAAGTTGATATGAAATTCTTGCCCTTCCTTATCAAATACAGGCCATATAACATAGATATAAGGTCAAAGAGAACAAAAAAATTGTCTTTCTTATTCAAACATTTCAACAAATATAAGTACAAATCAACCCAAAAAGCCTAGTCATGAGGATACAGCTGGTTATTTTTTTCCTTTTCATTATACATGTTAGAAATTTGTGAATTCTAGAAGGGAAGAAAGATTTTGTGCCTAAGACTGGATAGGCCTTAAGCAAGGGCTAAATTCTAACCGAAGGCCCATATCCTTCCTAAGAAAATTGATATGACTATGATGTCATACACATGGTCCCTTTTAAATGTCATATTTGATTAAATAACCAATGTTATGCCCAAATGAACACTAGAATATTGATACCACTACTCTAAGGATCTTTGTTTTTATTAAATAGTTTTTTGAAACCTGGGTCCTCTGAAATAACCTAATTATTTCATTCTTTTGAAATTTCCTATTAGTTGCCATAGGCCTCATCCACCACTGTTAACAGTTATTAAATAATCTTTATCACTAACATTTTGGGGAATATTTAATAGTTGGCATTAAATTTGAGAATGATCCCTGAAATAATGAGAAACAAAACACATAAATCATTCTTTTATATCATCATCTGAGTTCCAGAAATCTCTCCTAGCATTTACTAAATCTGGTTTCAGTCAAGGTTAGTTGGCATTTCCTTAAGAAAATGGGCATAGCTCGGTGCACTTGTGAGTCAGGGAAGGGAAATGAACTGCTAAAGCTTCAAAGGAAATGAAGTATAGTACTTGGAAGCCGAGGAAGAGGAGAGAGTTAAGTGTGAGAGTAGGGAGACACGGAGAGAGAAGAGTACAATTTCTCGCTGGTATGTCTTTGTATACTCTCACACCTTTCATTCCTCTTCTTATCCATTTTGGTTCCTCAAGCACAAGGGAGAAACTGCACTCTTTCTCATATTCCTCACGGTCAAATATTCTAATGGTAATGATCTTCCTGTGGGAACACAAGACAAAGGCAAAACAAATGGTTGGAGTCACACGCTCATGCTAGGTGTTCACCAAGCTGAATGTTACTGTGATGTTATGGAGGGAGAACTGGCAACACATGGACCTCCTGAAGTATGTAAAAGGGCATCTTGGGTGCTCTCAGCCGGCCCCCATTAAGTTTTCTTTCCTGATTTATCACGGTCACAAATTCTCCTTGCTCCAATTAGCAGTCAGGAAGTACCCCGAATTAAGAAATCAGAAAGCTGGCTTCATTTTGGCATAGCAAGCACCTGCATCAACTTTCCCAGAAATGGAGGCTTGATTGACTGCCCTGAAAATTAATAGCTCAGACCTGTAATGTGTAGAGTGGCCGAAACTGGCTAATGGAGCGACAGGCCGGGCCCACAGTGGTCCCAGGTGAGGTCTATGCCCTGTTACATAGGCGGAGGGATATGTGTGCTGTAAGTCACGTTTGAAGAGTGCAGGCATCCAGAGTGGCACAGGCCAGCAGAAGCTGTTGGGCTCCGCCCTGGAGCAGCTCCCCCACCTTTCTTCTCACTCATCTCCACCAGGCGGGGCTCTCCAATCTCAAGGAAGAAGGTCTTGTTTTTCTCATACTCCTCATCATCAATTACCTTGACTGATATTGTTTTGCTGAAACAGAGAAGAATAGAAATTGACGAACAAGGGGAAGAGGACAGAGAAGAGAAGGAACATAAAGAAGAGGAAAGCAAGGTTAATGAGCTGCACTGCCAGCCAAAGGGCAACTGAGAAACTTCTGTACTGTGAGCTTTTCCTTAAAGAATGAGTATGGGATAGGTCTGAAAGACGGAGAGGTCTCCCACAAGGCACAGCACCGCTGCCCAGGGTCACGGAGTTATTTCAGGCAAAACACAGCACCCAGTACTAACAGGTGTATCATCATCATGAAAAGGAAGAGTGGAGAGCACAGGCCACAATAATAGGAAAAGAAAAATACATTGATTCAGTAAATGTCTTAACTGTAGGATCGTCTGATCTGTGCCCTGGACATCACTCCTTCAAAACAAATCAATAAATCACATCAAAATATTAACAGTGCTTATCTCTGGGTGTCAGGCTTATGGATTAATTTTGTCTTCGTTGTGCTTTACTGTATTTCCAAACGGAATATTTTTAACATAAGATTTTATTAAAATAATAAACGTATAAAAGCACCACAAAAGAAGATACAAAGTCCTTTACGTTACCCCACCCAATGTCCTAGAATTAAACTTTTACTCAGGTTAGCCATACTGCCCACCTAGATCACAAGAGGAAGTTCATGCTTTGTCTGCCTTTCCAAAGATGGAAGGAAGCCTCCCAACAGATGTCTGGAAAAGTGTGGGGTGAGGAGTTATGATGTCACAGTTATTTTCATTCCTCCAAAAGTTGAGTTTCAACGTTGACAAAATACATTTTACCCTTCTTTCAAACTCCAGGGATACAACATTTTATTAAGAATTCTTCCTATAACCCATCCTTTATCACTTCCTGCCTTATGGTCTCCTGGTTGTGAATGACTGACGGGCAGGTGGGACAAATGCAAATATTATGCAAATCTCAGCTTCCCATAAGCCTTGAAGGCTCTGAAAATAAATCTGATGTTATCTTCTAATTAATAACGGCTTAATCTTTTCATATATTACAACATACTCAGAGCTCTTAAACACTTACTTGTCTTTGAAAATATACTTTTTTAGTAATATTGGCCAAAACATTTCTGATTAAAATTTTTGAAACAATGAGTTTATATAGACACACAGTGTTAATGGTACAGACATTATTTAGTTTTGGTGGAATTTTCTAGGTTTTATGGAAGGAAATATATATATATATATCTATATATCACATACACACACGTATATACGCATACACACACAGCTATATTTTAATTTTGTGAATCCAAATACGTAATCAAGTTTCATTTAGACCTATGCATGCCAGAGAACATCCTAGTATGAAGGAAGCTATAGGGCTATAGGTAAGAGTTGCTTTTAATTTTCCGAGTTCCTCAGTCCCTGATGCTAGATGCTTTGGTCCTGCTTTCTTGGTTAGCATTGTTGAACTGGGATCAGATGACTGGTTCTAGTCCTTTGGAACCCATAATCTGCTCTCTGTTCCTCAGCTACGGAATATCCCTGCATGACGCTCACATCTCAGCTTTTTTTCTACTAAGGAGCTGGCGCTCATGACGATGCCTTTTCTTGCTCAGTTCTGTCCTCAAAGAATGAAATACCAAAGCTAGATGAGCAGCTGTAAATGACTAAAGCAATAATTATGATTTAGAGTGGTTAGATATTTACCAGCAATGTGACAAAGTCCAACTACATGTATAAATGAACAGTTCCTGTCTGACTTTCAGAACAATTTTCTTAAATTCATCTATTTACTAAGCATATAAGAAAAGATCAAAGAAAAAAACTCATGAACACAGACAACAGTGTGGTGATTGCAGGGGGTAGGGAAGCAGGGTGGGTGGAAGTAGAAGAGAGTATGGGGGGATAAATGGTAATGGAAAATGCAATAAAATAATGAAAAAAGAAGAATAAAAAGGGTGTAGGAACTCATAGCAATTCTGAGAACTAGAAATTTTACTGTTTCTTTAATAAATGCACAAAAAAAAAAACACATGCATATGTGCCCATACACACACAAAGAAAAATCAGCCTGCCCTGACTAAATCAGGATCATTCCTCAATATCCCCAAAATACAAAATATTAGAGAAAGAACAAGAAGGTATAAGAATAGGTGTGGTTTTTACTTCAGAACTGAATGTGATAAGCAAGATGAAATTTACTCAAAAAAACCCTGCTAATCGTCTACCCCTTATGTCATCAAACTTATGCATTTGAGGGATTAGTTTCCATTGTACTGCCTTGTAATCATTAAACTATTGCGTACATACAACCATGTGTGTGAAAGTACTGGTGAGCATTAGAAGGGCCATACTACTGTTGTCTGGACCTGATCGTCCCAGACTCATTATCAAAGCACGTCATGATAATGTACATTAAACTGAACGTCATGTTGCAATGCTTTTGCTTATATTAATTAAAAACATTTGATTTACCCTTCTTCATCTTGCACTCCCAACCCATCCTGCATCTCATCACATACTTTATTAGATTGTAGAAATAAAGAGATGGTTGGAGTAGCCTTGCTTGAAAGGGCAAGTGTTTGTTTAGGACCAGCTACCAGTGTCATGCTCAAGGGCAATATGACCACTTTTTCACAAATAAATGAGAACAATCAAACAACATATTGTTTCTTTATCCTTGATGAATTTAATCCTCTGTTGCTGTAATAGCTTGATTTTCTATATTCTGAGTAGCTTATGGGCTCTGTATAATTTGTTTGTATAATAAAATAAGCACTTAAAATTTACCATTAGAGTATCACTATTCACTAGGGCCACAATTCTTAAAAATCATTTCAGCGTTTGATAACTGCGATGCTGGAAAATCAAAGATGAAGAAAAAGAAAACAGTTCCTCTGTGGGTGCTGGCAGAGTTACCTAAAATAGATGGGATTTGCATAACGGCATATCATTTCAAAATCATTAGTTATCCAATCAATAGTGCCCCTGACAGAAGGAACCATTACCTTTTATATCGATTTAGCTTTACTTGTGCAGTAAAGCTATTAATTGGAAATGATTATTAAAGGACATGCCAATCAATTGAAAGAGGCAGGCTGAAGTCAAGCCTTATGAATCAGCCCTCTGGATCAAGACAGGCGAACATCAAAAGGGAGTGGTCACGTCTACATTTTGCTTCAGAACTCTTTCTCCCCTTAGCAAAGGTAGCAAAGGTAAGTGCCAAGTAATTTTTAAAGGGATATCTTTTGCTCACTTTCCAAACCTAATGCACAAAAGAAACCGTTACCACTTCTTCCACCACCAGGGATGTCGCCTGCGATGGGGTTGATGGGGTGCAGACTCAGTCACACCGACGCTTGATAATCAGTACAAGCTCGCCCTGTTCCTCCCAGCTCTGCAGTAGGAACAGAACCTCCAGGACTGAGGGGCCTTAAAAGTCCTCCAGTTTGTCCCATTGCCATACACCAATCCCGTGCTCACAGGGCTTCTGCACTATCACAAGGGATCCTGCCTGGGAAGACAGATTCGTGCTGCCTGTTCTTTCGATCTGTTTACCATTGGGAAAGAGTCAGATAACTGCCATTACTTGTTTAAATTGAAAGGTTAACCAGCACAAGACTAGAATAGTCGCACAGACATAGCCCTTCATCCAATGACAACTGCTGCACTATTATTACACTGATAAGGAACAAACAGAACTTTTTCATAATTATTATGAAAAAAGTAAGAAGAACTCTCTTGACTTTTTTTTTTGCATCTCTCAAAAGTTGATCAGTGTAGGATAAAAATTATGTTTTCTAGTAAATCAGTTATGACACATTAAATAATTTCTCAATATGGCCAAAATTTTTATGGAAATACATTTTAGTTCCATTTCTGGGGGGAAAAAGCATTTGGTTAAGAAAGATCAATTCATCTAGTGGAAACACACAGGCCGTTCCTTTTGAGTTTTGCAGTGCCTTTCCTTTGATGATAGAAAACCAATATCTATACTTTATTTCTCAGTCTCTCTCTTACCTGATGAGCCTCAAAGGACCTGAACACCCTCAAACACTCCTGGCTGCATATTAAAATCACGTGAAAAACTTTTAAAAACTATATTCATGTTGGGACCCCACAACCAAAGGGTTTGATTTCACTGATGTTCACTGATGAAAAACCTGATATTTTCAACTATTTGAAAATAACAAGGAGTTCTTCTATCAGGTGGTGGCTCAGGTAGATGGGGAGAAAGGAAAGAAAGAGGTGGCTTTATTAGTGGGAACTAAAAAAAAAAAACTCTTCAAAATATGTTCTAGTCTCTCATCACTAAGTCAAAGTTGTATCACAGTCTTTTTTTTTTTTTTTAATTTCAGCTTCAAATTGTTCTTTTGTGGCTTCTTTTCCCCAAGATTGTCCTTAATGTTGGCAGAAGTGAGAAAAAGATGAGTTGGAGGATTAATCAGGAGAGAATCTTTCTAAATCCTCATGCAAAAGATTTTAGTGAGGATTTCACATACTTAGGTTCTGCAATGGCTTTTTAAAATTTTATTTTATTTTATTTTATTTTTAAGATTCAACTTCTCTTTAGGCGTGCTCAGAATCAATGGACTAATGGGCACTCTGCGTTTCTTATTCCACCTGCCTTCATAGCACCTCTAGAAATACCTTCTACTACTTAAAATTGATGGAGGACACAGTGACTCAGAGAAGTTAAGTGACTTCCAAGATGGCACAGTGAGACTCCTGTGGCTGGCTCCAAAGACCAATACCTTTCAATTACGTGACCCACAAGGTCCCCTATTTATTCAGCTGTGCAGTATTTTTATGGTCACTTTAAAGGAACTAGATCATTATTTTAAATTAAGATAGAAGTTTATTGTTCCATCTTTATGTTAACAAAGGCTGCCTAGATGGACAATGATAGATTTTCAATTTTATTTTTAAAAGAAGTGCAGCACATATTAGATTTGATGATGCCTGTTTTGAAAAGTTAAATACTTGAAGAGATAAAGGTCCTATTAGGATTAACTGAAAAGTGCCACAAATGTGTGG